TTCATGTATCATGGTCGTGAAGTAGTCACGAAAAATTGCCAAGATTCAGTTCAAGATTATGGAACATACGGAACGATAATCAATAATCGAAGATAGCCATTTGATTAATCATGGTATTGGCAGTCGAATGGCGTTTACGGCATGTCTGTGTGTCTGTTCTGTGATTTTATATGATTTTTTGAACATATGCCGTTTTTGGTCGAAAACTCAGAAATCATGACGTCACTAAAACCTCGATATCTAAAAAAATTTCCGACCGATTTTTTTGAAACTTTGTCACAATAAACTTCAATCAATTCCCTACAGGTACCCAAAATTTGGCGCGCCTGCGGCGCGCCGTTTTTATGCTATGGCCCGGCGAAAAAAGTGGGGGCGTTTAACGCCCCCCCCCCAGCAACTCGCGGGTTAACCCGGCACCGCCTGGGCTATTTCCGTACCCACATCAGCCTGGGGGGGGTCGGATCCGACCCCCCCTGTTATCTCGAGAACCAATGGTCGTATCGAGCCCCGCGAGGCGGTGTTCGAAAGGTCTCTACGAGACCTTCCCAAAGCACTCTTAAGATTTTAAGATTGAGGTCAACTTTCGGGTCAAGGTCAGGTCAAAGGTCAAATTCAGGGTTTTTGCATGATTAGGCTTACGGACAGCGGAATCGATAGCTGCTGCTCGAAACTCACCACAAATGACCTCAAAGACCTAGTGAAGGCACCATGTGCGTATAGGGGTCATACTAAGTACGGGTCAAGGTCAGGTCAGGTCACGAAAGGTCACGGTTTTCACTTTCTGCTACATGGGCGTGCGACACATGTTTTATGGCTTATTTTTCACGCCAAATCCGATGGTAATGGTTATATGTGACCCCAAGTCACTGTGCTGGTGATAAGTGTGCATTGAAAGCATAAAAAATCGTTTATCCCATACATAACTAAACGAGAGCTAAGAAAAAAAGTCAATTTTTCAACTTTTTATTTTTGACATAAAAATGCACTTTTCTAGACGAGCTTTGTCCCAGGAATCTAGTGGTGCCATTTGTTTTCACATGCGATGTTCAGAAGTGCCTCTAATTCGCGAAAATGCTTATGACGTCACCATGCCCTATGCATGTTGGAGCTATTTTTTACAATTTGGGGGTCAAAAATCAAGATAGAAAGTTGAAATTTGGGACATCTAATGTTCTAATAGAGCTCTATAACATATATTCCGGTTTTTTGGAAATTCTCAAAATTTTGGATTTTATTGGCTGTTTTCCAAAAAATACAGTTTTTTGAATTTTTAGGGGTGAAAAACGCATTTTATGGAAAATCCGAGATAGCCATTTTGAAGAACTCGTTGAGCTGCGTCTTTTCATGTCCTTAATTTGCAATTTGCTTAAAACCTCGATTTTTGGCGATTTTTTAAACATTTAGGGGAGAGCGGGGAGAGTTGTATCATGTCCAAGTTGTATCAGGGCGAATTGTGCCAAACTTATCCAATGGATGGCGCTCGCGACACGACCAGCCGACGAGGTTTTCCGGGCGCCATCTTTCCCTGTTCTGTCTTGTGGCTGAGTGGACGCGTCTCGAGGTGAGAGCCGATTTTATGTTTTTTTAATGTCATTCTAAAAAAATAAGTTGCAAGAAAATGTGTGTTTTGGGCATTTAGATGTGCACGAATTTGAAAGATCTCCGTAGCGGTGGTGAGGGTAGGTTCTAAGGCTGCATGAGTAAAAACGGATTTCTCCAGCTGTCCGCTGTTTTTTTAGCACGAGCTGATGTTTTTTCCAAGATGGCGGCTAGGTACATGTTGTATCAGAGCCGGGTGGGGTATGTTGTAACATATATGTATGTATGTATGTATGGGTATGTTGCTTTTGATCGCGAAAGCTAAGCCCTGGCTCGCGTTTGTAGGTAGCTAGTCAATGCTCGTTCCATTTCGGCACAATGTGTTGGCTTCTTTGCTCTTAACGGGCCACTTTTGCGTCTAGTCTGTTGATGTTTCGTTCGGATTGCATTGACCTAAGTTTGGTCTAATAAAGTGAAGCCTTCGAGCATACCTATACATTGTATTAACCCCATTTAATGTTGCTTTTATGTTCAAAACCAGTAACAAGCACACTCCCTGAAACGTGAAATAGTGATACAAATTACCCCACCATGTGATACAACTCACCCAAGCCATGGGGCAAGTTGTATCAAAAACATTGTTCTATTCGGCAGACCGTAGAATAAAAACTGGTAGAGGTAGCGGAAAAGTTACTTTGCACAAAAAAGCAGAAGAATCAAGGAAGAGGATAGTATGGAAATAATGAGTTTATCACGGATAGTTACGAGGTTATGGGTCTCGGAGTAAAAACTGATACAACCCACCCCACTCTCCCCTACCATTTTTTGACTGAAAACGCCATGTAGTTACATCACTAAAATCGATATATCTCAAAAAATTTTGAAATTTTTTTTTCTCAAAAATTGCACAGGAGTCGTCAAATTGATGGGGGAGAAGGTATGCGAAGTTTCAAGTTGATAGCGCAAGCGGTTCATGAGTTATTCAAGAAAAACGGAGGGGGGGGGGGTCGGATCCGACCCCCCCCCCCCCCAGGCGGTCGCGGGTTAAACGGTCATCGAAGTTTTCAATTAAAGACAGGCTTTGTATTGAATTTCCCACGTAAACGGCACGCCTAAGAGCTTTTCAGCTAGATTTTCACACAGATAGACGTACATTCGAACCACCGGCCCATCAAATGTGTTGTGTGACATGCCGAGTCCTTCATGCCAGACAATAATCGATCGACATCAAACATACATAACTGTCAAGTCAAGTGCCCATCCAATGCCCCAAAAGCGGGACCACAGCAAATTTACCGTGTCCCGGTGCCCCGATCAACCCCGATCTCGACATTTGTGACGCATTTCTGATCTGGTAGTTCTAGCTGCATTTTCTCGTTATCGACCCTAACCCCGCCAACTCCCGTGTCGCCAGGGTTACTCTGGCGGCTAGCTTCTTCTGCAACGTGGGTCAGGTGTTTGACCAGCGCCTGCTGACCTGCGTGACCCGCACCCCCGAGTTCGACTGCGCCACCCAGGGCTACCTCTACGCCGCCAGCAACTCGCAGTTCTTCCGCGACGTCAACTTCAACATGGCGCCCGCCGCTGCCGACGACAACGAACGGAGAGATGGCGAAGCTGGAGACGCTGCCAGAGAACGTGATGATAAGAACACGGCTATCCTGGCCGAGCAGCTGTTCAGCGTTCATAACGGCCAGCTGGAGACGTTTGGTCAGAGTTTCGACAGGCCCGGGACGGGGAAGGGGGAGGAGGAGGAGGAGGTGCAGTACGTGGATCTGATCAGACGATCGATGGGTGAACATGCTACTCAGGTCACAGCGGTGAAGGTTGTGGTGGGTGCGGGCGATGGGGATGGGGGACAGATTCGGGCGTGACCATGACCTGACTGTGTGTATTGACCATCGTTAATGCGTGTAAAATGGAAGCTATCTGAACTTGTTTGTGAAATCGTGGCTACTATTTTATTTGTCTGCTCACAAAATGAAACGGCATTAGACAAAATCTGGTAGACCATCATGCAGCCAACGCTTAACGATGCCGTCTCTCAGTGACTGATGTCCATTGTCCATGTATCACCACCCATTTTCACTGCCACCAACCGCCATCGACATTATGATGATGATGATGATGATGATGATGATGATGATGATGATGATGATGATGATGATGATGATGATGATGATGATGATGATGACGACGATGACGAAAAGGAAATGCATAAATAAAAGAAAAAAACAGAAACAAACCTAGCATTAAAATAAACTTGAGCCGGTTTGTCACCGTACCCGTTCCGCATCTAAGCATCTGGGTCAGCTTATCCACCCACGTGGTCATCCAGCAACCGTATAGCAGCGGCTCACGGCTGATCCTACCGGGATCAGACGGCGCTGCAGCCGCTCCCCTAATCCCCGCTCCCTAATCCACACGGCTAAGCACCTTGCCACCACCGTCAGAGAGCCAAAGCTGCCGTCGGGACCAGGTGACAATCGCAGCGGCGCGGCAGTGGGCGGCATTTTTTTTTGGGGGGGGGGGGGAGTTGTGGGAGGATCATGGCGACCACTGCCGGCTGCCGCTCCCACCCAGCTGACGTGTGATCGGAGGGTGTGATTGGTGGATGTCCCCGAAGGTCCCCGGCGCACCCGCTAACGGTGGAGGGAGATCTGGGAGCGTGTGAACAAGCTGCAGCAGGATCACACGGAGAGAGATGAGATAATACGTGTGCGGCATTGACGCGGTAAATACGAGTATAAATACATGCGTATAGGTATTGTACTTTAGAAATATAGATACCCACTCTTGAAATAGATTATATATGTATTCATTATCCTGAGACGCCACTGCGGTAAACGTTTGTCTTAATTTAATACCAGGGCTCGGCAAGGGCGGAGCTATACTTACTACTTACTAGCAATGACAGATTTAATGACTTGACGTCCATTAGTCTGAATTAATCTGAAAAAATATTTATTTACGATTCCAGTTGGCACGGCCCCCGAAAATGGCATAAGAAATTATGTGTCTTATAGTCCGATATCGTGGAGTTATGTTAAAAAATGATTCGGCTACGGGAAACAGAGTAGCTCAGCGCCCCCAGCCAGATAAGTGAACACCAATCCGCATTCCCTCCAACAACAGTTTCGACTTTCGAGCACGTCATCCACGTCCGCCGTTTCACCGCGTGCCACACTTTCTTACACCTCACCGTGCATTGTAAGCTGCCGTTGAGAGGGGATAATCACCCGAGGGGAGGGGCGGGGAGGGGGGCGGCCGGTCAGCCGGTGTAACGGTCTCGACAAAGGCCGAGTGGTGGGTCCCACCCTGCGAGGTCGGCCGATCAGCTGGGCCGCCGGAAACGGTGGCAAGGGAAACGCCCCGCGGCCAGGGGTGCCACCCACCGCCGGCGGCAGTATAGTGGTGGCGGCGGTGTGGTGTTGTCAGTGGCGGCTGCGGCAGGAGTGAGTACTGCAGTGGTGGTGGCACTGGTAAAGGGAGAAGACGGTTAGGCGGCAGTGGATAAAGTCGCGACAGTGACGGCGCAGCAGCGTTTGTTGCATAAAACTGGCAGACGGCAGCGGCAACGGTAGATGCAACAACGACGGCAGTGACAGCGGCGACAGTGGCAACTAGCAGTGGTGGACGAAAGTGGTAGACTCCTGTTAGCAGTGGCAGAGACAACGATGTGACGGTACGAAACACGGACTGCCGGCTGGAGTGAAAGGAGCAGTGCCGCCGCGCTGGCGAGTGTGATGCGAAGTGAGTAGGAGGGCTCGTGTTGGCGACTTGAGTCGTGACCTGTCTACTGGGACGTTCCTCATAGACTATCCAGCCGGGAAGGGAGAGAAGTGCTGTTGTGTGTCGGAGAAATATGCGTGTTGATGACGAAGACTTTCCCGAGGTCAAGTTTATCTAGCAGCAACATTTCGTAAAAGAGCTCCATCCTACGATTTCGACCGTCGTCCTGGGTCTGATCAGGAGTTCCGACTACTCTGGGCCAAAACAACCACTGAAGAGGAACTGCCCCGGGCGCACCAAACTCAACCAGCCAACTATCTCTCGGAGGACATCAGAGCGCCCTCCGAGCCTCCATCCCAGCCATGTCGTCTACCACGGTGCCTCTGCCACAGACGTTCTCTGTCCAGTACCTGGGCTGTCAGCTCACCGACCACATGTGGGGGATTCGTCACACACGCGGCCCCGTCGACTCTGCAGTGGCTGCGGCGCGTGCGGCAGGCCGCCTGCCGCCCCTAAGACTCATGGTGTCAGCAGGAGGCATCAGTCTTGCAGGCGACAGCAGCGGCGGGGGGAAGACGGCGACGCCTCCAGCCTCCAGCCCTGGCCGGTTCCCCATCGAGCGAATCTCGTACGGCGTTCAGGACATGGTCCACCGCACCCTGTTCGCCACGATCGTGGTGCCGGAGCGCGCGGCACGTGGTCCGTTCGTGTGCCACGTGTTCGCCTGTCAGAGCCGTGATGAGGCTCGTCGCCTCACGTGCGCACTGGCGGCGGCGTTTGCGGCGTACAGCGAACGAGAGCCGGCCGGGAAGACGACCCGGTTTGCCGTGGATCTGCGCACTCCTGAACAGATTGAAGCCGAAATGGGAGGAAGAAGGATGGAACTGGAGTCCGAGGCCTGAGACGGCAGTCAAAAACCCATAGAGTGACGAAAAGAAAATAAAGAAGATAACGCCTGTTGCTATACCAGACGGATTAACCGTAAACGTAAGCTGCAAGACTGTTCGGGCGCCGTCTTCAACACCTGATCCTGAGCAACTGGATAGCTGCCTCTGTGATTCTGGATAATTGTTTGAAATATTGATGGTTATCAATTAACTGGACTGAGACGATGAACTAATCGTAGCATAAATGAGTGTATAATACGAGCGACATAACACTTACACAGTCTGTCCATGTGGCGTTTCTGGCTAAAATGTGAGCTCCGTTACCACCGGTTGGCCCGATTTAGTATTTGAGCACGAATGAATCGCTGTTTTCATCGGGGACTTTGATGGCCTAGCTGTAGAAACTAAACTAACTAGAACTAGAAACTAAACTAGAAACTAAATCCAGCAATTAAAACTAAGGCCAGGTCCGGAACCTACATAGGTTAGGTATGCAGCGGCAGCGCCATTAGCAGTCAGCATGGACTGGCACCGTGAAAAATAAAACACATCACAATCTACATAAAAACGTCATTCCCTGCCACAGGCACCAGCGTTTCTTTTCATAAGCTTACGTAGCCACTGTTTTCACTTTTCTGAATTGCACGAAGTGGAACTGTTAAAGCAAATCTATAGAGCTTCCCATCCCTTTCCAGTTGTCAACCACGTGTCGTGACTTTGGGTTACAGACCGCATGCGAAATGGATGTAATGAAGTGGAACTTCAGTCCGTGTTGAAGGGTTTTGATTTAAATGGTCCGTTGTCGTGATCGGACAGTATCTGACACAGGGTCAGGTCACGCTGGGCTCTATTACGTGATCGCCGGCCGTTTGAGTTGTTGTAGCGGTACAAGGTTTTGGGAATGCCTATCTCCGGTCTCCGGACTAGCACAGAGGAATAGTTTAGAGGTCGTTTCATCAGATATTTTATTATTGTCATTCATCACAAATTTGTTAGTCACGATTAGCGACGTCATGGTCGATATGAAAAGTCTCTGAAAACAATGCATGTACCTGCGTAATCTTCGAGCACATACCAAAGCACTACGCAAGATCTAAATGAGAGATCATATTAAAGTTAGATGTGTTTTACCCAATGCCATGAAATTGTATGGAGTCAAAAGTAAATAGATGACTCAAACACAAATGAAGAAGTGAGTAACACAAACACACAAGCGACTGTCATTGACTAGCAAGGGAAGCAGTAACAATAAAAATTTACCGTCGTTAAACACAGCTTGGTCATCATATCAAATAAAATAAATAGTTTCAGTATTAAAGAGTGGCCTGTCACATGACTTCCTTGCAGACAGTGTCTTCCTTCCTGTCGTCCTCCTTCCCCTTGCACCGTCTTCGTCCCTCCTGTCCTCATGCCGTACTGAATAACAATTAACCCCATTCGGCACTGCCAAATCCCGCAAAAGATCGTGTCCTTAAACCTTCTGCCCTTCCGGTTTCGTGCTTGACTCAGGGGTCTCTCCACACTCCAGCAGTGGTCGACGTCATATGACCCGTGTAATTACGTCGCAGAGGTGCCAGCCTCTCCTCGGCTCTACTCCGTCACCAGTGTTCAACGCCATGCGGTCTACACTCGTCGCAGCCGCAGATCGACCCATCCCGCCCCATTGCCTGACCTAAGACTAGGTGACCCGCACCCGCCGCAGCCGCAGACCTACGGCCATCCCGCCCCATTTCCTGACCTAAGACTAGGTGACCTGCGCCCGTCTCAGCGGCAGACCTACCCATCCCGCCCCTTTTCCTGACCTAAGACTAGGTGACCTGCGCCCGTCTCAGCGGCAGACCTTCCCATCCCGCCCCTTTTCCTGACCTAAGACTAGGTGACCTGCGCCCGTCGCAGCGGCGCCTGTTTCACCCGGTCGTGTTTCTCTCGCAGACGCTGCCGCAGCTCGTTCAGGTGGCGCTGCCTGTAATACGGACACAGAGTGTTAGAGTGGGAGTTGGGTTATACGTTTAATTCAAGGTACGTTTTTCGGCTACTACCTAGTCGTTTATTGTTTTCGTTCCGAATTTTCGACCTTCGCATCGAGGTCGTTGTCAAGAAACATGAAAATTCGAAAATTAGAAAATTCGAAACGGAAACAATAAACGACTAGTAGCCGAAAAACGTACCTTGAGTTGAAATGTCTAGTCGTAAAAGCTTGAAATCATATATCATAGTAAAATGTTACCTCAGGCTTATCGATGCTGGGAATGCCCTGAATGGTGATGAATCTTGCAGATGAATAAATATTGATATTAAAGGGGAATATGAAAAGCACCAGGGTCCTTCAATACAATGTTAATCGAGTCTTAACTACAGTATTATATGAGCATTGGATAAAACGAAACAGTGAAGTATTCGCACGGAAAGCACTGTCATTAGTCAGCATGATTCGCAAACTGGTAGCCGAAACGTCATTCCAGAGTTCTGTCGCTTATGATACGCTGCTGAAGCGATAACTTTACTCTGCCGGACATCCTGTTTCCAGTCAATCGACTAACCCGGGTATCATGGACAGTCGGACTCGCCTTTTGTCCATGGCCGATCCGACTCGCCGCTCCAGCGAGGCCTCCCGCTCGATGGAGAGCTGCTGGTGGAGCTCCTCCACCTGCTGCTGACCCTGCTCCACCTGCTGCTTCCTCAGCAGCAGCTTCCGCACCTTCTCCTCCTCGGCGGCCTGGAGGGGGACGCGGTGGTTACAGCGGTGGACGGGTGGATAGACAGTAGTGAGGCAATGGACAGGTCAAAAGGCGAGCAGTGGCACAACGGTGGACGGATAGAAGGGTGAGCAGTATTTCACAATGGACATGAATACTTAATATTGAATAGTCGATCGATACAACGGTAAACGCAGGAAAACTGAAAAGACTGACGGTATTGCAGTCATAGACAACAAAATTCAGCCGTTATAGGGGATCCATCACCCAGGCAGAAACGCAATGTTATAGCCAAACGACCATACAGATGGACGGTGTCCGGCACAGGACAAATGAACAGACAGACGGATACCGCCGACAGCGCCCAGCGGAGAACGTCATAGACTGTGTTGCATCATGCATGCGGTGCGGACGTAATGAAAGAAAAGGTATCATGGTAAACCTTGTACAAACTACGTGCGTATAAACATGGACGGATTCGCCAGCATTAATCGTTAACACTTCTTTGCACATTCAGCTAGTTCAAACTGGGTCACGAGTAGTGAATCAGTCATAACGAGGTACTTGATAATCAATACACCCAGCAATATGACTCTTTGCACGTGTGTATGCGTGCTACGTCCTGGCATGACACGCCCTTTCGACGACTCCCGAGCCCCGACACGGCGGCAATGAATAACTCATATTCGTCCCATTTCCACCCACACCCTTTGGAACGAGCACGCACCCCATCCGTCCCCCCCCCCCCCCCCCAACTCGTCATGCAAAGGCGCGTGCACCCAACTCCCCTCTGCCGGCGTTCTTTGGCCAGCTGATCGGTCTCCGGCCCCATAGTGCGCCGGTTGCGTGTGACCCCTACTAACCCTGTGCCGGCGTTCTTTGGCCAGCTGATCGGTCTCCGGATCCAAAGTGCGCCAGTTGCGTGTGTCTCCCTACTAACCCTGCGCCGGCGCTGTTTGGCCAGCTGATCGGTCTCCGGCCCCCATAGTGCGTCAGTTCCGTATCCCTCACTAACCCTGCGCCGGCGCTGTTTGGCCAGCTGGTCGGTCTCCGGCTCCATAGTGCGCCGGTGCCGTGTCCTTCCCCCTCTACTAGCCCTGCGCCGTCGCTGTTTGGCCAGCTGGTCGGTCTCGGGCTCCAAGTAGTGCGCCAGTTGCGTGTGTTCCCCTACTAACCCTGCGCCGTCGCTGTTTGGCCAGCTGGTCGGTCTCGGGCTCCATAGTGCGCCGGTGTCGATGGCGACGCGCCTCCAGACGATCCAGGGTGGCCGACGGCAGTCGGGTGGCCGGGGCCGCCGACACGCACCGCGTCGATCCCGACAGCGACACCGCCGACGACGCCGAGACGATCTCGAAACTGAACGATGGGAGGGAGAGGAGCAAGGGAGGGACTGTTAGCAAGGTAAACTGTTCATGAATTATGTCCTACTGGCTACTGCCGCCAACAAAACACCTCAAAGACACGGATGAAGGAAAATCACAGTTCGCAATGCCGCTTCTCAAATAGGAAGGCGCCAATCAGACCCTCTCAAACATTCCACTTCTACCTTCTCCCAAATCCCGGTTGGGAGAGCATGTACTCTGACCTCGCCCTAAGAACCCCGCTTCTTGCCACCGGCTGAAGACTGCAGCTGCCCTCACCTGACACCACTGGAGGCCCTCTCAGCCGGTGTGGCGATGAGACCCTCCTCCCTGAGCGACTGCAGCACCTGCTGTTCCTCGCGGCGGTTCTTCTGGTAGCCGGAGAGGAGGCGGGGCACCGCGCGGCCCACCACCTCCAGCTCTGGGGAACACGAACACGACAGGGAGTGAGAGGGAGATACTAAAGCGAGTGAGAGAGTGAGTGGGTGAGGGAGTAGGTGAGTGAGTGAATGAATGAGTGAGTGAGTGAGTGAGTGAGTGAGTGAGTGAGTGAGTGAGTGAGTGAGTGAGTGAATTAATGAATGAATGAATGAATGGGTGAGTGAGTGAGTGAGTGAGTGAGTGAGTGAGCGAGCGAGTGAGTGAGTGAGTGAGTGAGTGAGTGAGTGAGTGAGTGAGTGAGTGAGTGAGTGAGCGAGTGAGCGAGCGAGCGAGCGAGTGAATAAAAACTATCATCTAGCGTCTAACTTTAACGTCATAGCGTCATGACGTTTACAGAGAGTCCCTCCAGTGTTAACTATTACATCATCAAACGCATTAAAACTGCATATTTATCTACCTCCCACATGCCTATCCCTGTTCGTTAGTCCAAACACAGTCTACCTGCAGGCCCACTTACTGCCCACCCCCTTCCGTACCGAGGTTGAGCGGAGGCACGAAGTCGCGCTCCACCTGAGCCACCCGCTCCGCCGGCGACGCCTCTGTGATCACGTGGCTGTAGGCGGCATCCAGGAGACCCAGGCCGCTGTCCTCGCGGGCGGAGGGGACTGCTGAGGCCGCCCGCAGCTCGGAGAACAGTCGGTCGGCGTCCGAGCCGTCCAGGGACTCCTGTAAGTAGCGGGAAAGATGTCGCACATTGATATAGGAAGGTGAAGAAGATGGGAGGGAAAAGAAGCTGAATTAAGTTGCAGATGAGTCGGCCTACTTAGTATTTATGTGA